AGCTCCACATCTCGAGTTCATTTAATAAAATCGACTCTCTCTCCTCCTATTTTGCTCTGACATCTCTCTAAGTTATTCCCGCAATAACCCCTCGGATAAGATACCCCCCGGGTAGACTATCCATCACCAAGTATGGTTTTCTCCAGATTTTTATGTCATTCTCATGTCGATGCCTTTCTGATTTTTATGTTGATCTAGTAGTGAACTTGTAAAAATCGATGTCGATGCTTATTGATGCATAATCCCTTCTTCATCCGTTATACTCGATTATAAGCATAATAAGCATCTCCAGAAAGTCATTGCTTATCCCTTCTTTCAGTATTACTTTCGTATTCATCAGCCTTATTAAAAATCGAGCCTTAATCGAGCCTTTGTATTCTCAGTGTGGCTTTTTTAATACTGATTAATCAGTATTACTTTCGTATTCAGCATTAAAAAGTGTGGCATCGGCATTCAGTATTAAAAAGTAATCAGCTTTATGGTTAATCAGTATTACTTTCGTATTAAAAAGTAATGCTAATGGACTATTTTTAATGCTTATGAATCGACATGTTCATCTATTTAAGTTTGGCTTATGACATTACTTACATTTTTATGTTGGTGGACTATTTTTAATGCTTGCTTTCTTTGTTATATCGATCTGTAAGTTTGGCTTTGTGTTACATGTTGGTATTTTTACTATATGCATACTAGTATTTACCATTTTTTAACATTTATACATAGTATTTACCATAAAAACTCGCTTTCACTCTGCTGAATTATTATACGTGTAAACACTCCTTTATATTTAACTATACACTCCATACGTGTATAATTTGAATTGTCCAAATTATAGTTTCCAGGCTTGTTTAACTATAACTCCATATGTGTATCTTTATATCAAGGCCAAGTGATTAATTTGATATTTATGAAGCCATTAGTATATTAGTAATAAAGTATTTTTACAACACTCATAATACGTAAATAAAGGAATTTTACTTTTGATTGTTTGTAGTGCTAATATATTTTTACTCTAGTGCTAAATAAAGTATTGTTACTTTTGATTTTAACTTGAATCTACCAAAGTCAATCAATTGTTTGCCAAGTAGGATGATAGTTCCTACTTCCTGTTCGTATGGGACACAGATTTTGCATTTTAATGCTACTTTATTAACTGTGCTTTTACATGTTAGAACCTATTGTTAACTTTCCTAACTTCTTAATTAGGAATAATGGCTAAAGATATAAAACGTGTTGATTAGAACCAAGTTTAAAACTGACATTTTTAAATTGTTTATGTGCTTATAAGATAATATGCTAATAATAATTAACAAATGAAACTTCTAATTAAATTAAAAAAAGTATAAATAACATGTTCTAACATACAATAATTTATCTTTGTCTCAATTAATTTTGACTAAACTATGCTTAATAAGTATAACTTCTTTGGTAGTTCTACAATGGGTGATTCACAAGAAAAGGGAAAAGGTGCGTATAATTTCTGGAGTGCAGAAGAAAGTTCTTTATTACTAGAACTTTTGGTTGAGGCTGCTCAACGTGGATGGCGCGATAGAAGTGGACTCATTAGTAAACAAACTGTTGAATAAAAAATACTCCCGGTGCTGAATGAAAAGCTTGGATGTCAAAAGACATAAGTACAATATCAAAGTCGGTGGAAGTACTTCAAGCAAAGATATCAAAAATATGCTGATCTTATGAAGTTCAGTTCGGGGTTTGGGTGGGACCCAATTACAAAAAAATTCACTGCGAGTGCTGAAGTGTGGAAAAACTACTTAGAGGTATAGCATAATCCTACAACTACTTAAATAACTAATATTTAATTATACTATCCAAAATTAACTTACTCCATAATATATATATATATATATATATATATATATATATATATAATCTTCTCTTTTGTAGTCTCGTGGTGCTCATAAGAGTCTTCGGACGGATGCCATTCCCGACTATGAAGATTTACAAATAGTAGTTGGGAACGTGACAACTACTGAAAAACATTCAGGTGGCTTAGGAGAGGAGTCTGATGCTAGGACATATGATGTTGAAGAGAACACCCAAGCTTCCATATAAGATTATGTGTATGATGAGTCTCAAGGCGCGTACGTCTCAACCCAACAAGATCCAATACACGATTTAATTGTGCCTCCTACATGTGCAAATAGGAGTGCAGCTCCCTCAAAAAGTAGCGGTTCTAAGAAGCGAACCAGAGATCAATGTGAAGTGAGCTCTAAGGCAAAAAGCAGTGAGTCTCGTTCTGAATTTAAGACGAAGGTTGCTAGTGGAATGGATTCTATTGTTGAGATTGCTAGTGACATTCGAGGAATGAGGATATTGATGGAAAAAAAGGAGAAAAGGGAATCAGAGTTTCTAAGATGAGCGCACACGCTACAAAGTCCCTAAGCTCATATATAAGCTTGGAATGAAAGAAGCGTTTCTCAAAATGTCACCTCAAGAGCGTCAAGAGTGGATAATCTATAACATCGAAGAAGACTATGCTTGATTTAGGAAGCTTTCTTTACTTTATTTTTCATGAAACTTTTATTTCTGGTGCAACCTTTCTTGTTGAACACTTTTGTTATTGAACTGATCATATTCCTTGTTATTGTTTAATGACTTTTATGACTTATTTATACCATCTGGTGTTATTTTTAATTACTTATCTCATTTATACAATTTTGTTTATGAAATATTTATACCATGTGATGTTATTTTTAATTACTTATTGCATTTATTGTTGTGAAATTCCAATTAAAATGACATTTAAATGTTTTTATAGGTTGGATGAAATGGAAAATGAAATGAGGGAAACAAGTAGTGAAGAATTTTATGAGATGTTGAAGTTAATTTTATTAGCTCTTGAAGCAATACTTCAAGTGTTGAGTGACCTGTTACTGTTAATGCATGAGGGAGAGTATATTGAGCGTCCTACTCGCAAACCTATCACCACCATTGGATTTAATTACATAAATACAGTATTAACTGAAGACACTGCGCATTTTAGAAAAATGCATAGGATGTACCCCGATGTTTTTCTAAAACTTTGTAGCATCATTAGGGAAAAACACCGCTTCGAGATACCCGTTATGTTTGCGTGGAAGAAATGCTTGCGACATTTTTACTTACGGTTGGTCAAAACAGCCGTTTTTGTATCACACGCAAGACATTTGGTAGAGCACATTCTACTACTAGCAGAAATTTTAACAAAATTTTGAAGGCTTTAAACACAATTTCTTCCATGATGATGGTGAAACCGGCAGCTGCTGTTCCTAGCAAAATCAGAGAGAGTCCACGCTTTTATCCTTACTTTAAGGTAATCATTTACTAGCTCCTATAAAACTTTAATTTCTTATTATAATTCTAAAATTATTATTTATTTTCTTACTAGGATTGTATTGGATCAATTGATGGTACACATATACCTGTGATAGTTGATGTGACCCCTTACCGTAATCGCCATGGAAAACTGTCACAAAACGTGTTGGCGGCTTGTAATTTTGACTTGGAGTTCATTTATATTCTTAGTGGTTGGGAAGGCTCAGCTCATGATTCAAAAATATTAAATGATGCACTGACGAGAAGAAATGGGTTAAAAGTTCCACGAGGTAAGCATCATTTTTATCACTATATGGTATTTTTTATTGTGTCGTATAGTAATTTATCATCTGTTTCATTTGTCATTTAGGGAAGTGTTTTCTAGTTGATTGTGGATTTGCAAATCGACGTCAATTTTTGGCTCCATTTCGAGGTGTTCGATATCATCTTAAAGATTTTGGTGGGCAAGGTCGTCATCCTGAAAATGAAAGGGAGTTATTCAATTTACGTCATGCTTCCTTGAGGAATGTTGTTGAGAGAATATTTGGCATTTTTAAATCACGATTTGCGATTTTTAAGTCAGCCCCTCCGTTCCCATTCAAAACGCAAGCAGAGTTAGTATTGGCTTGTGCAGGAGTGCATAACTTTCTACGCAAAGAGTGTCGCTCAGATGAATTTCCTGTTGATTCAGATGATGAAGACTCTTCAGATGAATCTTTATTAGAAGACGACGAAGATGAAATTGACAATCTCCAAACACAGGATGAAGAAAGGCAATATGCAAATCAATGGAGAAATGATATTGCACAACAAATGTGGACAGATGTTATCAATGAAGATTAGATAGAATGAATCTATTTCTTTTGTTACTTTAGTACGGTTCCTAATTGTTTAAGGTTGTACTTCGATTGCGGTTCCTAACTGCTTAAGGTTGTGCTTTTATTTAGTACGGTTCCTTTTGTTACTTTAGTACGGTTCCTTTTGTTACTTTAGTACGGTTCCTAATTGTTTAAGTTTGTTATATTTCAATTTGAGGTTTTTCCTTAAATATCACTAGATTGAAGGCAATTTATTGTTAACCTTTTTCAATGAATTTTAAAAAAATGAAAAAAAAAGAGCGAATAATTTTTTTTATCAAAATGTTCCTACGACTTTTTCGACGGCGGTTAGCAGCGGCTGAGCAGGTGTGGGGGGTGGGAACTAGGGCAGCGGTTTACACTGGCTTGTATCTCAAATCTATTAAAATAGAATTCCATTAAAATCCATTGAAATCAATATAATTCCATGAAATAGAATTCCATAGAATTCCATGTGAATCTCATGGAGTCTGTAGAATTCTATTAAAATCCATGGAATCTACAATCTTTTAAAATCATTTAAAATTTGTGTTGGGGACACCCCGTTAGAGTAGGGGGAAATTGATTTTGCATTTCATTTCACTTAAAATTCTTTTGAATTTGCATCCCATTTGGATTTTTTTTCACAAAATAATATGTTTAGGGTGCAAAGTAAAAGATTTTTGAAAAATAGAATGCAAAGTTCAATATCATCCAAAAAGTGGGGTGTAAAGTCAAATCCTCCTTTGTTTCAGGCCTGGGCTGAAATATAGCTTTACAGTTTTCCAGCCCAATGGGTTGGAAATATATTCGCTTTTCTGTCCATAAATATCTGCAGCGGGGTCTCGTTATCTTCCCAACTGGAGTTCGTTCTTTCTCTAGACCTTATCCTCTGTAACATCTGCCATGGCATCTTCAACGTCCACCCTACATTTCCTCGCGCTCAATACTCAATCTCTCCCTCTTTCCAAACCAAGTCGCGCCCCCATTTCATTATGCCTTTCTCCGCCCTATCCGTCTTCGCTCAATCGCTCTTTATCCTTCTCCTGTTGCGTTAGACCATTCAACTCACTGCCTTACTCTTGCGTTGTTCGAAATGTCGCCTTCTCGGACGAGGTTGACGTGGTTGAAGAAGACGAAGATGAGGGACTACTCGGTATTGACGGCTCATCGTACTCTTACTCCGACGAGCCAAGTTTCCCCCCTGAGCAGAAGCTCTTTGTAGGGAATTTGCCCTTCGGTGTTGAAAGTGCTACTCTTGCTAGTCTGTTTGGTCAAGTAGGAAGTGTTGAGATGGCCGAGGTATACACATTATCTGTTTTTTGGTTAGTTCTAACATATTCACTGCAAGAACTCTTTTTGCTTTGTTAGTTCTTGGAATTTTAATCTTTGAGATATACTACCTCTGCTGATATTTTCAAAAGCCGTGCATCCTCAAATGTGAAAATTGAAACATTGCAAAAATATCTGCTGATATTTTCTACAGTTTTCATTAGGACTAAGTATTCTAAGTGACAGAACGATGAGCTAAAAAATTCATATCTATTCAGGTTATATATGACAAGCAAACTGGAAGAAGTAGAGGATTTGGGTTTGTGACAATGTCCACTGTTGAGGAAGTCGAAGCCGCTGTTCAACAGTTGGATGGATATGTAAATTTCTTTCTTCACTTGTAAACTTATAATTTGAGTTGTCTTCACAATGCTTTAAGTTGCGTTCAATTAATGTTTGCATCTTATGAGGCTTGTCACGAGCATTTGTTGAAACGAGCTTTGGTCTTTCAACTTGTCAGTGTATATGAGTATATCCGAGCCTTTTCAACTTTAATTTGATTTTTTTTCTTACACAACATTGGTTGCATCCAAATAGTGATGCCACCGTATTAGCAACGGTTGAAAGTAAGCTCCAGTTTCTCCTTCTTGGTTCTCTTAAAAAATCATTTTATTGTCAATATTTTGAAAACAAAGTTTTGATTTTCTTCTCACAGATGTGCTTGTCATTGTCATAGTTGCTTTCATGCATTTCTGGTCTCTTAACTCTAATGACATTAATATATACTCCATTGTGGCATCCTATCCACTTCTTGGGAAAACCCTATACCTTCAAGCTCAATTAAAAAATTTCAGGATTCACCAAGTGTGAACTATATTGAGTTTTTATTTAATGAGTTTCTTAACAACCTGTAATACGGATCATTAATATGAAAGAAGGGGGTACATTTTATTGCAAAAAGTATGTTATATTTCTTTTCACAATGAAATGATTATTCTTGACAGGAACTTGATGGGAGGCAACTGAGGGTGAACTGTGGGCCTCCACCACCAAAAAGGGAAGGCTCGTTCAGGGGATCCATGGGTGGGGGAGGTTACAGTAATAACTACAGTAATAACTCTAATAAGCTCCATGTGGGGAATCTTGCGTGGGGTGTTGATGATCAAGCACTTGAAACCTTGTTCAGGGAGCAAGGAAAGGTGATGGAAGCCAAAGTCATTTATGACAGAGACAGTGGCAAATCAAAGGGGTTCGGATTTGTTACTTACAGTTCTGCCGAGGAGGTCAATGATGCCATTAAAACCTTGGATGGCGCTGTAAGCTTATTGTGATTCTTGATAATTAATTTATGACTGTTTAATTTGGTTTTGTGGTTGGAATTGAACTGACGAGATTCAACTGCTGACTAGTAATTAGATAAAAGTATAAAACAAATTTGTAATGAACTTAAGTTCAATTCATTTCTCACAACCAAACAAACCACATGCTCAAGGTGAGATGTGTTCCCTCTGATTCTTGAACTGTGAAATCCAGGGAATTTTGATATAAAAAGTGGGTGGTACCACACTACTATGTGATTCTTGCAGGACTTTTGAATGTTTCACATCTATATTTCAAACTTTTAAATTCTGGAAAACTCAATTCCAATTTTTTCTTTCCTTCTTTTTAAACTAGATTTTATAGTTCCCTAGTTAGATTCACTGTGATTTTTTATTTCTGCTTGTTGACTTTTCAAAGGACCTAAACGGAAGATCAATCCGTGTAAGTGTTGCTGAATCCCGTCCCAGGCGTTTCTGAGGTTTTCAACTGTGAACCATGATTGGTTTATACCCAAGGAAAGCATGAGGTATGCTCTTTGCGCCTATACTTAATAATATATTGAACTTGAACTTCAATTTGAATGTCCTCTTTGTAGATGTAAGGTTTTGTTACAAAAGTTGAACCTGGTTGTAATTATTTCACATGTTTTCCGTGGGTGCATGCTCTCATTTTATTTTTCCCTGAGATGAATAGTTCAGACATTTTAATATATCCTATGATAACAAGTTCTTGAAAGTGTATATGAGTTATTCATCTGCCATGTGTCAATGTACAATCCATATGAACTAGAAGTGGCCACTGTTGCTATTGTGGATTCTTAGAATGCAAACTACCAAAATCAGAGGGGTGAGTGGAGAGTCATTCACCAAGTTTTGTTGAAAATCCAATGACAATACATGGGGGACATAATCCTTACCCCAAAACAACATTAATGAAATAAACAATAATGTGAAGATACTTATTACTAAAAGTGCATACATGATATGTAAGAGGGCATATAAACATGATTTATGCACTTTTATTCTGAAATGTGATGCATTTGTGTGCTAGTCACTTTTTCTCCATAGTCATGCATTGGTAAGTTCTGAGATTTAACGAAAAGATATGAAGTGATTTAAACTCTCCTACTCTCTTCTCATAGCAAGTATCTCACATATGAGTGATTGTAGAAGCCAAGGGAGAATCTCCAGGTCTGAAAATAATATTGATTCATGCATGCCCCAGCCTGAATAAGGCTAGGCTATTTATAAAGAAGGAAATAAACTGACACATAACTGACTCATCCATGATCTACCAATTAACCGACACATTAACTGACTCCACCCATGATCTAATAACTGCTTAGTGGACTGATGCATGACACCAAACCCCACTTATTCTCTAACTGACTTGTTTAAACAAATAAACAATAATTAATATATAAATGAAGACTTGTTTCTTGCACCTCTGATCTGTCAGCACTCTATCATGCATATTTATCACTTGTTTTTTAAAAAGTTCCTAGTATTTTGCCACTGCATTTTTCACTTAAAAATTAATCTTATTCACATATGTTTTCGTTTTAGGATAGAAATGAGAATGAGTTTGGACTGTCAGATTTTAGAATTGTGTATTATGTAAAACAGAAATGTGTGCTATCACAAATCAGAAAATGTACTGGCATTTTTGTAAAAAAAAAAATCACCATTTTTTGCCAATTTGACCTACGCATCGTCTTAATGATAAATGTGCAACACTAGGAAACATAATGTGCATCATTTCGGGTGAAAATGTGTTGGTTTTTTTGTAAATCAATTCATAAATGTGCACTGCAACGAACTATAATGTGAATTTTTCTGTCCATTTGAATTGTGCATTATTCTAATCATAAATGGGCACTGTCACGAACTGTAATGTGCATCATTTTGTTTTCATTTATCATGGGAAGAAGTGTTCTGACTTGAACCGGACCATAATGCGCGTGTTCACATTTCTTTTGTTGTAGTGAGAACACTTTTTCCCGCGAGAAACAAGAACAACCCAAAACAATTCATTTTATGGTTAATGGAGGTGCACACCTATGGATAAAACAATGCACATTTCAAATAGAAAAAATGTTGAATTTATTGACACAATGCCATCGCATTTTCTGATGTTTGGTAGTGCACATTTTTGCTTAACATAATGTACAATTCCCAATTTAACGCACCGGATTCTTTCCCATTTCTCTGAATAAATTTTCATTTGATCCCAAATTATTACATATATATGGAGAGAAATGATCTCATTAGTCCACATTGATGGGAATCTCGTCATTCCAATTTAATTTTGAGCTAAAAATTGATATTGATGGTCCAAGTTGTTTAGTCATTAGCATTAAATGTTAGTTTCAATCGTTGGATCATTCGAAAAGTGAAGTCCTTAGAAGTTTAATTTGACTTTTTATAATGAAAGTCTTAATTGTTAGATGAGTTAATTGTTAGATGAGTATTAGAAGTAAAAAAGTGCCTTAGGATAGCTTAGAAGAACACTCATATGATTGAATCTCTATGTTATTTGAATGCAAAAAAGAAGATAACATATTTGAATATGATGTCCCTGATTTTTTTTGCTTGATTTTGGAGGAAAAGCGATGAAGAGGCAAGGTTGATGACTTGATGATGCCCTGGTTGTTTTGGATAGCTTGTTTTATTCATCACCTAACTTTACAAGCCCAAGAAGTTTAATGTTACTGTTGTTTTCAATATGTGTTCACTCTAGAATTCCTCTGAAATACTGCTGCTTCTCTTGTTTTCCAATAAGACTGGAGTTGTGTACTAAAAAATATGTGATCTAGTGTGAAAGCCCAAGCGAGCCTGTGATCTGAGTTTTTCTTTTGCGAAGAGAATAAGGCGTGAAAGTCAGAGTCTGTGTTCCAATGTAAAAAATTGAAACCTTCTGTTTGGTTCACTTCTAAGTCGCGTACGTCTTTCCATGGTTAGTTTAATGCGACTAATAACATGTTCCTTTACCTGACCCAATGTGGCTAAATTCAAAATAGTGATGGACCCAGTTCAGGCAATCCGGCCCGGTACTGTGCGGACCCGGCCCGGTTTAGGTAGGGTAGTGGGCCGGGTACGGCCGGTTTAGGTAGGGTAATGGGAAAATGGAACCGGCCTGGCCGGTTCTGGGCCCAGTTCGGGCTTAATTCAATTTTTCTTTTTCTTTTTTAATTTTTTTTAACTTTCCGGGTTGGGCTGGGTATTTTGGGCCATTTGGGCTGGTTTGCTGGGTAGGGGTTAGGGGGGGTCGGGAATTAATTAGAAAAAGCAAAAAAAAATATACATATATATAGAGGCCTGGCCCGGATCCCAAATCCTAGAAAGCCTGCCGGGCCGAGGCCCGACCCGGCCCGGATCCCAAATCCTAGAAAGTCCGCTGGGCCTAGGCCTGACCTGGCCCGAATCAACCCTAATTCAAAATATCACATGCACACTATTCATAAAAAGTCTACTCATATTATCAAAGACAACAACCGCCACCCCCTTACAACGGTCAAACTGTTAAAGACATTGGATATGCCCCCCTTGCCCATTTTTGTTTGCAATAGATCATTAGTCTTGGACTCGGGTCGGGCCGCCCGGCCCAGAAACTGGCCCGGCCCACTACTGTGTGGGCCTGGTCCGGCCCACTATTGTGTGGGCCTGGTCCGGCCCAGTGACCCGGGTATTGTTCCGGGCCTAGGCCCGGTCCCGGGGGTTAGGGTGGGGCGGTCTCGGTTCAGCCACTCTTTGGAACCGACCTGACCTGTCCTGGGCCCGATTCAGGTCTTTTTTTTTATTTTTTTTATTTTTTTGGGCTTTTTCCTGAGTTGGGTTGGGTGCTTTGGGGGGGTTTAGGGGTGGAGGGTTAATTAGAAAAGGAAAAAAAAATTAACATGGACCCGGCTCGGCCCGTCCCGGATCTGGTGGAAATCTGGGCAGGTCTCGGGCCTTAACCCCAAACATCAAAAGCCCGACCGAGCCTAGGCCCGACCCGAGTCCAACACTGGCTATCCCCAACAAAAAACAACATTTAAACCTTAGTCCCAACTCTCAAAAGAATTTGGGATTGGCAACCATGAATCGATAAATAAAATCGGAGTTAAAAAGGATAAAAAGAGAAAAGGCACATAAACAAAATAAATAAATAAATCAATCATCCACTCATATAATACGTAGTATAATCTTCCTCCAATTCCTTCTCTCCAAATCATAATCTTATCTCACTCAACGAGTATAATATCATTCCCAATCATTTTAATCCATATCTATTTCGGTCGTCCTCTTCGTCTCATCTCCTTTCTTCCCCACCTCTCAATTCATCTAGCAGATACATTACTAATAGATGCTCAAAACACCGCAATCGAGACTCTTGCATCTTATGATTGATGTTCTTCCACATTTTGCCTCATTATCTCATTACTCAAATGGTTTTTTGAAGTATGTGTAACATTACTTCACCGCCTAGCACTATACGCCACGCAGCAATGCAAATCTAATTGATGTTCGATAACACAAACAAAATTAAACTTGTAGTTGTTTGGAACCAAAATCGTCCATAATCGCCAATTTAGAAATTGTTCTCTTCGTCTGATCTAAATGTTTCTGATCTGAATTTATTAAGTTCTGATCTGATCTGAATCTTTCTGATCTGAATCCTTCCGATCCGATCTGAATATTTCTTTAATTATAACTATAATTATTATAATTATAATTGTAATTATTAATATAATTTAAATATAATTTATACTCATAATTCTAAAAAATTATAATTATAATCATTATTAAAGTTATAAAACATTATGCCTACTACACTAATTATAGCTATAATTATAATAATATAATTCCTCTATATAATAATAAAAATAAATAATAATAATAATAATAATAATAATAACAATAATTATAATTATAATTATAATTATAATTCCTCTGTATAAGGGAAAACTGTCAAATAGGTCCTCGAACTTTCATAAAAAAGTCAATTAAGTCTTTCTATAGGAGACTCTGTCCGGTCGTCGCGATTTGGGGCGGTTCCCGGTGGAATTTTTTGATGAATTTTTTTTAGCATCTTATTCATCAAAAGTCTAGTTTACTCATACCAAATTTCAGCTAAAAATTTAATCGGGAGCGCATTCAAATTAATTCGAGAACGCAAAAATGCGCAGTTATCTTAAAGAATTAATTTGAATGTGTTCTCGGTTGAATTTTTAGCTAAAATTTGGTATGAGTAAACTAGACTTGGTGAATAAGATGCTCAAAAAAATTCATCAAAAAATTCCACCGGGAATTGCCCCAAATCGATACGGCGAGACAGAACCTCCTATAGAAGGACTTAATTGACCTTTTTATAAAAGTTCGAGGACCTATTTGACAGTTTTCCCTCTGTATAATAATAAAAGTAAATAATAATAATAATAATAATAATAATAATAATAATAATAATAAACTAATAATAATAATAATAAACTAATAACAATAATAATAAAAATAATATTTATAATAATATGGAGTAGTAGTAGTAGTAATAATAATAATAATAATAATAATAATAATAATAATAATAATAACAATAATAATAATAATAATAATAATAATAATAATAATAATAATAATAATAATAATAATAATAATAATAATAATAATAATAATAATAATAATAATAATAATAATAATAATAATAATAATAATAATAATAATAATAATAATAATAATAACAACAACAACAATAATAACAACAACAACAACAACAATAATAGTAAAGCTAATAAAAATAATAATTATAATAGTAATAATAGTAATGATAATAGTAATAATAGCAATAATCAAAATAATAACAATAATAATAACAACAAAAACAACAACAACAACAACAATAATAATAATAATAATAATAATAATAATAATAATAATAATAATAACGACAATAACAATAACAATAATAATAATAATAATAATAATAATAATAATAATCATTATAATAATCATCACCTAAATAATAATGATAATAATACTAATAATAATTTTATAATAATAAAAGTGATAAATCATGTTTGAAATTTTCTGATCTGATCTGAATGCTTCTGATCTGATCTGAATGTTTATGATCCGGTCTGATCTGAATCTTTCTGATTTGATCTGATCTTTAATTTTTCTGATGTGATGTGATCTGAATAAAATAAGAATAAGCAATAAGTAATAAGGATAAGACGAACAGAACAGCTTCTTACTTCTCGTTTTGATTAAATAACCGTTAAAAACACGAACCATGCCTACCCCTAAGTTGAATAGAGAGACTTAAACTAATTAGGTGTAAAAATAAATTACCGGCGCATGATGTTGATCAAGTTAGACAATAAAGTGACATGGAAAATGATTGCTAAGTCAGCGTCAATGGGGAGCAAAATAAGTAAACTCTTGCAAACATAATATGCTCATTCTCAGCCCTGTCAAAATGCTGGGGGGGCAAAATAAGTAAAGTCCTCAAGCAGCTCACTCTAGATAAAGTGTCCCCCCAAGCAACAACCCACTCCCTGGGAAGGGAGATTTGGAGAAGAAAGGAGGGTAACTCAAAAGGGTTAATCCGCACTTTTAAAAATCTATTTTCAATTTGATATTCTTCCCAATAAAGGATATAAAATGATAAACTAGTATAAATTCAATGTCCTAGTTATTTATTTATTTATTTATTTATTTATTTATTTATTTATTTATTTATTTATTTATTTATTTATTTATTTATTTATTTGTCTTTATTTATTTATTTATTTATTTATTTACTTATTTATTTATTTATTTATTTATTTATTTATTTATTTATTTATTTATTTATTTATTTATTTATTTATTTATTTATTTATTTATTTATTTATTTATTTATTTATTTATTTATTTATTTATTTATTTATTTATTTATTTATTTATTTATTTATTTATTTATTTATTTATTTATTTATTTATTTATTTATTTATTTATTTATTTATTTATTTATTTATTTATTTATTTATTTATTTATTCGTTTAACCTGTTAACCTGTTTCTTGTTGCATAGCTAACAATAGATAAGGTTTTCTCCCTCAACAGTAAGCTCATGGTTTTTTCATGCTGCAATTTAACTTTTCACATCCAAGCTCTTGTTTCAAATATCCAATCTTTTCAAGCAAGTCCTTGTTTTCCTGGTATTAGGCAAACAAAAGAATCAATTGGAATTGTGTTGAAAATCATGAGTAGATCCTAGTTTTGAAGTTCGACTGTTTGGGAGACCCAAAAGGGCTTGTATTAATAAACAAATGCATCAACTAAAAATATGAAATTGATCTCAAATGCATTATATTATTCAGTTACCTTTTGTAGTGAATCCGATTTGCTATTCTTGCCATCACCATTTGAACTAGATGACCACTTAACCTATGTACCACACATGGCAATGGGTATAAGTGAGTTGATAGTTTGATTGTTTGAGACATAACACTTGGAATAAAAAGAAGTGCTAGTTGGATATAAGGTCAAGGGCAAACTTAGGGCAGCTAATGGAATTTCTCCCCTCGTGCGAGTTGTGTCGAGGAGGTCCATAGTTTGAACCCAGCTCCTTAAATACAGAGGAATTGTGTCCTAGATTATCCCTTTTCCCATATCCATATTTTGAGGGAGCTTAGGAACAAAGTACACCTCATTTTAGTTGGGATAGTTCAAGTTTTGTTTAGGTAATCTCACTATGTATGGGTATCATGAGATAACCTTGTTTGGTTCAGACTTTTGCATGAACATTTGTGAAGGTAAGCAGAGATTGCCCCCGCTCAGAATTCCCTTCCGCGCAAGAATATGAGGTAATGTTGGGGCTGTTTTGGATCATTCCAGCTTCGTCTCTAGCAAACATGAGTAACACTCCCTCACGGTTTCATAAATTTTAACAGTTTTACCTTACCTTGTACTAGTAGCTTAACTAGCTTTTTACTATTATCATGTAGGTGGACGAATATATGTTGACTGAATTTCTTATCATGCAGGTTCACCAAATATCACTCTTTAATGGAGGGAGTGGCCTCATGAAAATCTTACATTTCGTAATCTCACATTATTTAAGACAATTTACATTCCATGAACTAAATGCCACCTTAGGCATACGACAATGGTTACCAACACCCCTTTTCAATCTCGTTTCTTATTCTGCAAAATCCTTTTCAATTGTTACTGCATTATGCATTATAACAATATACTATATACAATAGAATATAGTTGAAGCTGTCGACCAGTAATACAAGCACCTACTTGAAGTAGCTCCTTTTGGCAGCTGTTGACCTTCTCCACCTCTGCATCATATCTACCTCTCCAGTATGCAGATTCATCCATTGCTTCTCTATTAGCAAGATCAAACTGTCTCCTATTTTCAATATAACATGAGTGCATGATCAGACAACACAAATGCCTATTTTCCCCCAACCAACACTAATTCAGTACTTCAAGGTGTTTTCTACAATGATAGATCATGGTCGAATCAAAATCCAGCAAATTCCTATGATAATTGGTGGCTCCATATGAATATTGTAAAACATTTTTGAAAATTGGGAGAAGAAATACTAGGGGTACAAAAATCAAATTTCACTCTTTTGTAGGAAATCCTTATCCACACACACGCCATCTGAAGCAACCTGAACTGTTTTAAGTTGCTGACCCAAAATCACAGAAATGGTAGGACAAGCAAGATATAGTGATGAACAATGGAAGGGTGGTACCTGATTAGTTCGGTCTCGTCGGAAGAGATGCGATAGTCGATAGTCCAAAGCCTCAAGTACACAACTAAACCAATCGTCATACTCATTCCCAACCCAATCAAGATTGCGACCTGCTTTCTCCCACCGAGCTTCTTCATCCTACTGCCATTACCTGGGTGAAACCGGATTAACTCCGGTCGGGTCATTCCAGACTGCATGCCTCACCTAACGCTGTTTGTTAGCGGTACATCTCTGATTTCACCAAAATATAACAACCATAAACCAATTGGGGTTAGGGCTGGCTCCGAAAACCAAATAAAACTGAACCGCTAAGAAACCGAAACCGAATGTAAAAAACCGAATCGAACCGAAGTTGTTCGGTTCTGTTTTGGTTTTTACCCTTCAAAACCGAACCGAACCGAACATACCGAACTATTTAAAATATGGAATTTATATGTTAATTGTTAAGCATTAATTCTAATTAATCTTAATATCATCAATAGTCTTTGGTTTTCTTGTGTTAGAGAAATAATGTTTGTGTTATGTTTCATTTAATTTAGTTTATAAATTCATTTACACATTCATTGTGTGTAATAATAGCTATATTGAATGATGATCATATGTGTTTACTAGTTATTAGTAGTATTAACTTTCATGTTTAGATAACTTAAAGATTTTATATTGATAAAACAATAAATATTAATCTCAACTATATCACATAGAACATATATATTCATGAAAAATTTTCAAACTACTCACAAACAAATTAAATCAATAATATATACAGTTTTATATATCTCGCATACTCATACAATCACATAGAACATATATATTCATGAAAAATTTTCAAACTACTCACAAACAAATTAAATCAATAATATATACAGTTTTATCTATCTCGCATACTCATATAATTCAAGACATATGTATCTCTTCTCATTTTTATTTTATTTGTCGTTGTATTTTACTTTGATTCTACATTTGGTTTTAGGTCAAAACCGAACCGCAAGAACCGAACCCACCCCTAATTGGGGTAAAATGATTCAAAAATGCTATAGTCACCCCATTAGTACCCCACTTTGTACCCCATATAAAATCCTTCCCATTTTTATCTTTTGTTACCCCCTCCAAACATATCTCTTCCCACATCCCCATTTCTTTCTCTTGGTCGTCCCTTTCTATTCTCCCACCCCCAATTCCCATTATTTTCTCCTCTTTCCATTTTAAGAGCTCTATAATCTCCATTTTTGAAGTTCTCAAGACCTCCCCATTTAGTTATCTCTAAGGTAACCATCCCTTCTCAAATAATGAGGTACGCACTCTATTTCCAATTTTTCTTCATGTACGTTTTTATTTTTTTATTTCTCCTTTTTTTGATTTTATGTATATTATGTATGATATAACATTGAATAATTGATTAGTTTGTTTCATTGTAATGATTTTGAGGTGTTAATTAATTAAAATTTTAGTGTAATTTCTCTAGTTCATTTTATGCTCATAACATGTTTGTAGAAATTACTCAATGATTTTTGTTGTTGAAATTCAAGACTTCTTTTACATTTTTTATACCTCAGTGTTTAATGAGGATTTTTATGGATTTCCAATTCAATATGATATAGTAATTTTTTATTGAATATTTTATGTGATTATTATGAATTTTTTTAGGTTTGTAATTGGGTTTTAGGTGTTTAGTAAGCTATTGTTACATGTTTGTATTTCATTTGAGCTGTCGGTAATGACTTCATAAATGTGTGGTGCATGTATTTGTTTTGTACTTGTCATTGATGTGGTTTGAGTTGTCATTATGTATTGTTTGTGGTAATGGCTTGGTAGTTTAAAATTTGTTTGTAGTTGTTTGTCATGTGAAATTAGTTGTCTGGCAAGCCTTTTGAGTTGTCTGTCATTTCATTTTGAACTGTTGAAACTAGGTTTGTAGTTGTCTGTCATGTGAAACTAGTTGTCTGGCAAGCCATTTGAGTTTTCTGTCACTTCATTTTGAATTGTTGAAACTAGGGTTGTAGTTGTGTGTCATGTGAAATTAGTTGTCTGGCAAGCCATTTGAGTTGTTTGTCACTTCATTTTGAACTGTTGAAACTAGGTTTGTAGTTGTCCGTCATGTGAAATTAGTTGTCTGTAGGGTATTCAATTCAACCTTTATTACAATACATAAATTGTCTGTATAAGTGTCGTAAATATCTGTCTTGGTTATACTTGTGTGTCTACAGGAGCACCTTTGCAGAGCACCTGTTAATGGGAAAGCTCTTGGTTCCAGAGTGTGAATATGCAAACATGTGGAACAAGAGATGTTAATACGATGTTCGTTTGTGGCGATTGAAGAGGGTGGGTGAAGCACATGAATTCCTTAGAAATGTGGGAATGTTTTTATGGGTTGTTTAATGCAGTTGCAACCATTATGGATGTCTGTCTACAAAATATGTGGAATATTGTACAACCGTTGATGTTAATGTTGTACAATGTTCAATAATTGGATGAGATTTTTTTTTTGTTTTTGAATATGTTGCAAACCTTACAAATGTGACATTCAAGTAAATGAGGATATGTAGTTGTGCAATGTTGTACATTGGGTTATGTTAGGTTGTTGATCGGTGGAACTTGCAAGTATACAAGTGTCGATGTAGTAATAAAATACCGGTAAATACCGTCGATCCACAGGGAAATGGTTGATATTATAAAGTCGAGTATTGAATGCAAAGAATGTAAATGATATATTTTTTTTCAGGAACTTTGCTCTTTGAGATTGGTTTAAACAAGAATGAGAATTATTAAGGCAATCGGGATTCACCTAAATGCTTTAATATTTGTTTAATAATAGTTCTTCCCCAATAATCATGAATACGATGTCGCTAATATATTCTCAACTCCGGTTAAGGCAGCGAGAGCGTGGTTTTCGTTACGTGTAAGTCCCGTTACGGCTTACATTCATCTACCGAAAACCCCGTTGAATATCAAGACATCACACCCGTATCATATAAGACCGGATATATTTCTATTCTCGGTACTATATATGTTTATCCTTTAATGTTCATAGTTTAGACTCCAACGTTAATTGCAAGCATAAACTAGATTTAGGGAAAACTGTCAAATAGGTCCTCGAACTTTTATAAAAAAGTCAATTAAGTCCTTCTATAGGAGACTTTGTCCGGTCGTCGCGATTTGGGCCGGTTCCCGGTGAAATTTTTTGATGAAATTTTTTGATGAAATTTTTTGAGCATCTTATTCATCGAGTCTAGTTGACTCATATCAAATTTCAGCTAAAAATTTAATCGGGAGCGCATTCAAATTAATTCGAGAACGCAAAAATGTGCAGTTATCTTCAAGAATTAATTTGAATGTGTTCCCGATTGAATTTTTAGCTGAAATTTGGTATGCGTAAACTAGACTTGGTGAATAAGATGCTCAAAAAAATCATCAAAAAATTCTACCGGGAACTGCCCCAAATCGCGACGGCTGGACAGAACCTCCTATAGAAGGACCTAATTGACCTTTTTATAAAAGTTCGAGGACCTATTTGACAGTTTTCCCCTAGATTTAACATACTTCTATGTTGTACACCATAGTCATAAACAATCAAAATATAAAGGATAAATCACAATTTATTGGTTTAGAACTTTTATCAAACACCTAGTGTGCATAGAGGTTCATCCCTAGCCTTAGCTAAGAAATTAGCCTCTAATGCTCATATTAATCTACAAACAATATTGAAATGTAATGGAACATGAAATTACAAAGGAAATAACACCTAAACACCAATGATTTCGGAGGTTGAAGTTTCCTCCTCAAGAACTTGAAGAAAAATAGCAAGAACAAAATATAAAAGCTAGGAATTAATCTATGGAATGGAATGTCATTGCTTGATGAATTAAGGGCTTTATATAGGCTAAAGAATGACATCTTTTAGTCTATTCAAGCCTAACAATCGGGTATGGAAGCAATATTTGATCAGATATGGAGGAAGATGGGTTTTTCCCATCAGAAATCTTCTGCACGTCGGACTGTTTTAGCAGAAAATCGGAACAACCGGCGCCGGTTATAACATGTCCGGCGCCGGTCGGGTGCAAAAATGCACCGGTTGTGCTGCGCCGGTTGGAAACAGGCCCGAATTGGGCAAAAAGTCCTGACGACCGGCGCCGGTTATAGAGCACCCGGCGCCGGTCCTTGCGCCCAAACTTGTACTTCGTTTCTTTTCTTTGTTTGATGCCCGAAATTGATCCCGAAGTGCCGGTTTTCGATCCCTTTGGACTTTTGACCCTATTTTCATTGCTCCATGTCGTATTTTATGTTTCCGCTAACTCGAGAATATTTATCTGTTTTTGCTTCACATTTTTGTACAGATAAATGTAATTACTTATGTAAAACATAAGTAATTATTGTGCTTATCAGTTGTCAAGTATAAATGAAACCTTTTTTGTTATGTTGTGAACTTCTACATATGTTTTTATTTAATTATGTAGTGTTTGTCTACGTATGCAATTTATATGTCTGTGAATGACATAATTGTCTGTACGTGTGTGCGTATAGTCTTTTTAGGTATACATTTTGTCTATGTGGCAGCTAAGTTGTGTAGCTGTAGAAGAAATATACCACAACACAAACACATAATTTTCAAGACCACAAGTAATTGTTCATTCCAAACTACATACACTCCTGATTCACAATAACTGAAGGCTCAAATCCGACCCCTTATCATAGACACATGGCGTTAATACGGTCCAATCATGAATTTCATTTTAGACATGACTTGTGTGCACTTCTCTTCATCTGTTATTTCAGAAAAGTATACATATTCCCTTCAACACATAATTATCATTTTCGTCTCTACAGACAAACAATTATCTTTATATTCGGCCAAATATAACTATGTTTCCAAACAAAAGCACCCACATTTATATAAAAACTGCATTAACACTTATTCAACTCATCAAACGTACATTATAATACATTTGTGAAATACTTGCATGCGAATATAGACATTTGTTCTACTTACACAAACAAATAAAGTTGTCTTGTCACACAGACATTAAACAACCCATAAAAACATTCCCACATTTCTAAGGAATTCCTATGCTTCTTCCACCCTCCTCAATCGCCACAAAGGAACAACGTATTGACATCTCTTGTTCCACATGTTTGCATATTCACACTCTGGAACCAAGGGCTTTCCCATTAACAGGTGCTCTCCAAAGGATGCAACCATCGCTCCACATTCTTCGGACCTGTAGACAAACAAGTATAACCAAG